ATTTTTCCAAAGTCCTGTACATTATAAAGATCCTAAGGACCAGTACTTTTAAAGCTAGTTGGAAATGAATTAAAGATTAAATCTTAGTTTAAGAAGGCAGATTTTGTAAAGTACCTGAATCGGAGATTTCCAATTTTAGTACCAAAACTGAGATATCTGACTTCCATTGCTTAGAGCTCATCAAAAATTCATAGCCAAAAACAATTGTTAGCCAAAACTAGGTAAGTTCCCCCTGAATTACATTCCCCCTGAATGTATGCGCTTCAGAAAAATTAATTAAGACAAAATCATACTTGAGATAAACATAATCAAGCATAATAAGTGCAATTAAAAATTGTTGAAGCAGTGTTGCAATGTTTAAACCAATCAAGCAATGTTTAAACAGGAAGGTGTTTTCATCAAAACAAATTGGTGTTTTCACATACTTTCCCCCTGGTTTGATGAAAAGAACCTTCAGTTCCTTTTGCGTTTTGAAGATCCGGCAACCTCACTGATGCCCTGCATGTTCCCACACAGTTCTTTGATGCGCTTTAAGTTTTCACGCCTTTCTTCTGATTGAGTAGCATCTGAGAAGTGGTCAGCAACTGCACCTATGAATTCTGTTCCATCCAGTCCTGAGCTGGATAGGTGCTGTGCTGAGTTTTCCGGATTTCTTTGCTGTGCTTCAAGGATTAAATTTGTCATGTTCAGATGAGAAGGGATATAAGATGCTTCTCCTTCGTTGACTGCAATTGGGAGCTGTGGTATTGGAGATGGACTGTGTTGTTGGAGAATTACTTCCATCTTGCGGTTCCCAGTATGTGCACCAATAAGTCTGAACAGCTTGTATGCTTCCTTTTGATTGTCAATGATCACCTTCAAGTAATCTTTGGTTACTACCTGATTTGCTGAAGCTATTGCTAGGGTTCATATTTTATCTTTGGTTACTACCTGATTGGCAAGTATTCTTGTGTAGGGTTCATATTTTATCCTGATATTTTTTTTTGCAATATAAGGAAAGATATGTAACCTGAAAAATAAATGTGAGAAGAAACGAGGTAGAAGATGGAAATAAATGTTTGCAAATAGGGAAGTATGTAGAAGGAATAAATGATGTTCACTTTCTTACCCACACAGGCTCGCTGTACTATTTGTATTCTTCAACCCCTATATTGCAAAAAATGTAATGGTCATCCAATTGAGCTATAGATAACTTTTTATCCTACCTTAAATTACAAGAAAGAACACATTAGGAGACAAAACAGACAGACGTTATTCATTGAATTGTTATCTGCCCCTACTATCTATTTTTTTGTAGCCAAAAGAACTTTGATAGGAATTGATTCTCCTGTTTTGCAAAATTTTTATGTATCCACAAGCTTACACCGAAGAGGCCAATGTTGAAAGAAGAAAAGTCACTTGTGAAGCTATAGACCTAAGAATAGTTCCCAAGAAATTTAAAGTGGCTGTTTTTCAATTCATCCTCTCCGCGAATCTTATTTGAAGAAAAATCACTCCCGCTTGAATTTTGGTTTATCCGATTCTTTCGCTGGGAGAATCTTATCAAGTCTCTTGGTTGTCATACTAGCCATTTTATTTGTCAAGTATTCTTGTGTAGTGTTCATATTTTATCCTGATCATTTTTTGCAATATAAGGAAAGATATGTAACTAGAAAAATAAAAGTGAGAAGAAACGAGGTAGAAGATGGAAATAAATGTTTGCAATAGGGAGGTATGTAGAAGTAATAAATGATATTCACTTTCTTACCCACACAGGCTCGCTGTACTATTTATATTCTTCAACACCTATATTGCAAAAATGTAATGGTCATACAATTGAGCTAAATATAAGTGTTTATCCTACCTTAAATTACAAGAAAGAACACACTAGCAGACAAGACGGGACAGACGTTATTCATTGAATTGTGATCTGCCCCCTACTATTTATTTCTTTTGTAGGCAAAAGAACTTTGATAGGAATTTATTTTTCTGCTTTGCAAAATTTTTATGTATCCACAAACTTACACTAAAGAGGCCAATTTTGAAAGAAGAATTGCTAGTTGTGAAGCTATGGAACTCGAAATAGTCCCCAAGAAATTTAAAGTGGTTGTTTTCCAATTCATCCTCTCCGCGAATCTTATTTGAAGAAAAATCGCTCCCGCTTGAATTTTTGTTTATCCGATTCTTTCGCTGGGAGAATCTTATCAAGTCTCTTCGTTGTCATACTAGCCATTTTATTTGGCAAGTATTCTTGTGTAGGGTTCATATTTTATCCTGATCTTTTTTTTTGCAATATAAGAAAAGATATGTAACTAGAAAAATAAATGTGAGAAGAAACGAGGTAGAAGATGGAAATAAATGTTTGCAAATAGGGAGGTATGTAGAAGAAATAAATGATATTCACTTTCTTACCCACACAGGCTCGCTGTACTATTTATATTCTTCAACCCCCATATTGCAAAAAATGTAATGGTCATCCAATTGAGCTAAATATAATTTTTTATCCTACCTTAAATTACAAGAAAGAACACACTAGGAGACAAGACGGACAGACATTATTCATTGAATGGTGATCTGCCCCCTACTATATATTTCTTTTGTAGCCAAAAGAACTTTGATAGGAATTGATTCTCCTGTTTTGCAAAATTTTTATGTATCGACAAGCTTACACCGAAGAGGCCAATGTTGAAAGAAGAAAAGTCACTTGTGAAGCTATGGATCTAGGAATAGTTACCAAGAAATTTAAAGTGGTTGTTTTCCAATTTATCCTCTCCACGAATCTTTATTGATGAAAAGTTGCTCCCACTTGAATTTTGGTTTATTCGATTCTTCCGCTGGGAGAATCTTATCAAATCACTTAGTTGTCATACTAGCCATTTTATTTGGCAAGTATTTTTGTGTAGCATTCATATTTTATCCTGATCATTTTTTTGCAATATAAGGAAAGATATGTAACTAGAAAAATAAATGTTAGAAGAAACGAGGTAGAAGATGGAAATAAATGTTTGCAATAGGGAGGTATGTAGAAGTAATAAATGATATTCACTTTCTTACCCACACAGGCTCAATGTACTATTTATATTCTTCAACCCCTATTTTGCAAAAACGTAATGGTCATACATTTGAGCTAAATATATATGTTTATCCTACCTTAAATTACAAGAAAGAACATACTAGCAGACAAGACGGGACAGACGTTATTCATTGAATTGTGATCTGCCCGCTACTATTTATTTCTTTTGTAGACAAAAGAACTTTGATACGAATTGATTCTTCTGCTTTGCAAAATTTTTATGTATCCACAAGCTTACACCAAAGAGGCCAATGTTGAAAGAAGAAAAGCTAGTCGTGAAGCTATGGAGCTAGAAATAGTTCCCTAAAAATTTAAAGTGGTTGTTTTCCAATTCATCCTCTCCGGGAATCTTATTTGAAGAAAAATCACTCCCACTTGAATTTTGGTTTATCCGATTCTTTCGCTGGGAGAATCTTATCAAGTCTCTTGGTTGTCATACTAGCCATTTTATTTGGCAAGTATTCTTGTGTAGGGTTCATATTTTATCCTGATCAATTTTTTTCCAATATAAGGAAAGATATGTAACTAGAAAAATAAATGTGAGAAGAAACGAGGTAGAAGATGGAAATAAATGTTTGCAAATAGGGAGGTATGTAGAAGGAATAAATGATATTCACTTTCTTACCCACACAGGCTCGCTGTATTATTTGTATTCTTCAACCCCTATATTGCAAAAAATATAATGGTCATACAATTGAGCTAAATATAACTGTTTATTCTACCTTAAATTACAAGAAAGAACACACTAGCAGACAAGACGGACATACGTTATTCATTGAATTGTGATCTGCCCGCTATTATTTATTTTTTTGGAGTAAAAAAAACTTTGATAGGAATTGATTCTTCTATTTTGCAAAATTTTTATGTATCCATAGGTTTACACTAAAGAGGCCAATTTTGAAAGAAGAATTGCTAGTTGTGAAGCTATGGACCTTGAAATAGTCCCCAAGAAATTTAAAGTGGTTGTTTTCCAATTCATCCTCTCCGCGAATCTTATTTGAAAAAAAATCGCTCCCGCTTGAATTTTTGTTTATCCGATTCTTTCGCTGGGAGAATCTTATCAAGTCTCTTCGTTGTCATACTAGCCATTTTATTTGGCAAGTATTCTTGTGTAGGGTTCATATTTTATCCTGATCATTTTTTTTGCAATATAAGGAAAGATATGTAACTAGAAAAATAAATGTGAGAAGAAACGAGGTAGAAGATGTAAATAAATGTTTGCAAATAGGGAGGTATGTAGAAGAAATAAATGATATTCACTTTCTTACCCACACAGGCTCGCTGTACTATTTATATTCTTCAACCCCCATATTTCAAAAAATGTAATGGTCATCCAATTGAGCTAAATATAATTTTTTATCCTACCTTAAATTACAAGAAAGAACACACTAGGAGACAAGACGGACAGACATTATTCATTGAATGGTGATCTGCCCCCTACTATATATTTCTTTTGTAGCCAAAAGAACTTTGATAGGAATTGATTCTCCTGTTTTGCAAAATTTTTAGGTATCGACAAGCTTACACCGAAGAGGCCAATGTTGAAAGAAGAAAAGTCACTTGTGAAGCTATGGACCTAGGAATAGTTACCAAGAAATTTAAAGTGGTTGTTTTCCAATTTATCCTCTCCACGAATCTTTATTGAAAAAAAATTGCTCCCACTTGAATTTTGGTTTATTCGATTCTTCCACTGAGAGAATCTTATCAAATCACTTAGTTGTCATACTAGCCATTTTATTTGGCAAGTATTCTTGTGTAGTGTTCATATTTTATCCTGATCATTTTTTTGCAATATAAGGAAAGATATGTAACTAGAAAAATAAATGTGAGAAGAAACGAGGTAGAAGATGGAAATAAATGTTTGCAAATAGGGAGGTATGTAGAAGTAATAAATGATATTCACTTTCTTACCCGCACAGGCTCGCTGTATTATTTGTATTCTTCAACCCCTATATTGCAAAAAATGTAATGGTCATACAATTGAGCTAAATATAACTGTTTATCCTACCTTAAATTACAAGAAAGAACACACTAGCAGACAAGACGGACATACGTTATTCTTTGAATTGTGATCTGCCCCCTACTATTTATTTTTTTGGAGTAAAAAAAACTTTGATAGGAATTGATTCTTCTGTTTTACAAAATTTTTATGTATCCATAGGTTTACACTAAAGTGGCCAATTTTGAAAGAAGAATTGCTAGTTGTGAAGCTATGGAACTCGAAATAGTCCCCAAGAAATTTAAAGTGGTTGTTTTCCAATTCATCCTCTCCGCGAATCTTATTTGAAGAAAAATCGCTCCCGCTTGAATTTTTGTTTATCCGATTCTTTCGCTGGGAGAATCTTATCAAGTCTCTCCGTTGTCATACTAGCCATTTTATTTGGCAAGTATTCTTGTGTAGGGTTCATATTTTATCCTGATCATTTTTTTGCAATATAAGGAAAGATATGTAACTAGAAAAATAAATGTGAGAAGAAACAATGTAGAAGATGGAAATAAATGTTTGCAAATAGGGAGGTATGTAGAAGGAATAAATGATATTTACTTTCTTACCCACACACGCTCGCTGTACTATTTATATTCTTCAACTCCCATATTGCAAAAAATGTAATGGTCATCCAATTGAGCTAAATATAATTTTTTATCCTATATTAAATTACAAGAAAGAGCACACTAGGAGACAAGACGGACAGACATTATTCATTGAATTGTGATCTACCACCTACTATCAATTTCTTTTGCAGCCAAAAGAACTTATAGGAATTGATTCTCTCGTTTTGCAAAATTTTTATGTATCCACAAGTTTACACCGAAGAGGCCAATGTTAAAAGAAGAAAAATCACTTGTGAAGCTATGGAGCTAGGAATAGTTCCCAATAAACTTAAAGTTTTTGTTTTCCAATTCATCCTCCCCACGAATCTTATTTGAAGAAAAATTGCTCCCCCTTGAATTTTGGTTTAGTCGATTCTTCCGCTGGGAGAATCTTATCAAATATCTTGGTTATCATACTAGCCATTTTATTTGGCAAATATTCTTGTGTAGTGTTCATATTTTATCGTGATCATTTTTTTTGCAATATAAGGAAAGATATATAACTAGAAAAATAAATGTGAGAAGAAATGAGGTAGAAGATGGAAATAAATGTATGCAATAGGGAGGTATGTAGAAGTAATTAATGATATTTACTTTCTTACCCACACAGGCTCGCTGTACTATTTTTATTCTTCAACTCCTATATTGCAAAATTGTAATGGTTATCCAATTGAGCTAAATATAACTGTTTATCCTACCTTAAATGACAAGAAAGAACACACTAAGAGACAAGACGGACAGACGTTATTTATAGAATTGTGATATGCCCCCTGTTAAATATGTTAAGTATATATTTAATATGAATTATGTGATTATTGTAATTATGATAGTTTACATGTATAGGTTTCCTTACGTAATTAGGAATCCTCTGTAACTATTTATACGAGGCTTCTCCCTCATTATTTCTCAATAGAAAATAATAATTCTTCATGGTATCAAAGCCTCTCGTTGCTCTCCGTCTCTTGTCCGACCTAGCGCAGGCAAAACCCTAGCCGCGCCATCACCGTCTCTCTCTCTCTCTCTCTCGGCCGAACAGCAGCCGTCGCCGTCTCTCCCTCCCCCATCGGCAGTGCCCAGCGGCTGTCTCTCTCCGGCGATCTCCCTTCCCACGGCGAGCAACCACCCCTCGGTCATCATGTCTGAGAAGCCTTCCGTCACCGATTCAACGTCATCTTCTCCAACTCCGCACTTGGCGTTCACGACGATCTCGAACGTGAAGCTCCATGTGCCGATTCTCCTATGCTTCTTCGAGCCCAACTACAAAAAGTGGAGCCGGCTCTTCCTCCTCCTCATTCGAAGGTTCTCTCTGGGTGATTTTCTCACTGGCAAGTCGTCTCCTTCCAACGCCGACGACTCGGAATGGTTCCAGCTTGACGCCCTCATACAAGGTTGGATCCTCTCCACGGTTAATGATGAAATTTGTGATCTTGTTCTCTCTACAACCAACTCCGCATCCGAGCTTTGGAAAGCCATCTATAACATCTTCCACGACAACAAGCCGGCCCGGGCGATGCAACTTGAACACCAATTCCGCACCACCACAAAGGGTTCTCTCTCCATTGCCGCTTATTGTCAAATCCTACGGAATCTTGCGTATTGGTTGGATGATGTAGATGCCCCCGTCTCCGAACAACGACTTGTTCTTCAAGTCTTGCGTGGTCTCCCGGATGATCTTCGAGGACAAACGTCGTTCCTTCAATACCAAACGCCGCCCCCGACCTTTCTCCAAACCCGCTCGGCCCTCCTCTTAATTGAACAACAACGGGCTGAACTGGGTGTCGGTAGCAACACGGGGGACGGCGGCACGGCGTTATATGCCGGTAGTGGAGGCCCACGGCGACAGGGCAGCGCTGGTGGCGGGCGGTCAGAATCCAGCGGCGGGGGAGGCTTCGGGCAGCAGCAGCAGTATTTCCGGCATCGTGGCGGTTCATCTCGGGGTCGTGGTCGCGGCCGCAGCTCCGGATCAAATGCACGGAACACCATCGGGCAGCCCTCCGGACAGTTCACCTACCCAAACTCTAACCCAGGCCTTCTAGGCCCGCGGCCAAACCCCTACCCGCACCCCCAACACCCACAAGCCTATTTTTCTACCCCTCACCCACCCCACGGCCNNCCCACCCTCACCCATCAACCATCTCACCGGTGTCCCCACCCCAACTGCCCTAGCCCATAATTTCGACACCCTCATCCTCCGTGATCCCAATTGGTATATGGACACCGGCGCCACTCACCACATTGCCTCGGACCCAGGTACTCTTTCTCATGTTCGTACTCATTCATTGAATTCTTCATCATATATCACTGTCGGTAATGGTTCTAAAGTTCGCACTACGGCTATAGGTAACTATAAATTTCCCACATCCCCTCCCCTTAACTTACAAAATATTCTTGTCTCCCCCCATATTACCGACAACCTTATTTCTGTTTGCCAGTTTACCCGTGACAATAATTGCTCGATTGAATTTGACCCCACTGGTTTTTCTGTGAAGGATATGCTGACGGGAACCGTGATTCATCGGTCCAATAATGCCGGCCCTCTCTACCCTATGAGCCAGTCCACCGCCCGAGCCCAAGCCCAAGTCAACGTTGTCACCGGTAGCTCGGAGCTCTGGCATCGTCGTCTTGGCCACCCTAGCTTTGCCGTCCTTCGTGGAATCCCTAGTCTTTCCTCCATGTCTTTTAAACATTTACAGCAGTCTCTTTGTCATGCTTGTCAGTTGGGGAAACATGTTCGTCTCCCCTTTGAGTCATCGAGTCGTATTTCTACTTTTCCCTTTCAGCTTTTACATACTGATTTATGGCAATCGCCTGTTACTAGTATTATTAGTTTTAAGCATTACATGATACTCTTGGATGATTATTCTATTTTTTTGTGGGTGTTTCCTCTTAAACAAAAATCTGATGCATGTTCTCATCTTCACACATTTATTGCTTTTGTGAAAAATCAGTTTAATGCTACTATTAAGGCTGTTCAGTGTGATAATGGAACTGAATACAGGAACACGCCCCTTCGTAATATTTTTGAATCCTTGGGTATAATCTTCCGCTTCTCGTGTCCACACACTAGCCAACAAAATGGCCGTGCTGAACGGACCTTTCGCACCATCAATAACACTGTGCGATCTCTTCTTTTTCAGGCCCAACTCCCACCAACTTTCTGGGTCGAGGCCCTACACATGGCCTCTCATCTTTTTAACCTCTTACCCACCACCACACTCCAAAATCGCACTCCCTATGAAGTCCTTTATGGTTCCAAACCCACCTACTCTCACCTTCGTGTCTTCGGTTGTCTCTGTTATCCTAATATATCCGCCACCGCCCCTCATAAACTCGCACCTCGCTCTGCCCGATGTGTCTTCTTAGGGTACCCGTCTAACCAACGGGGATATTGATGTCTTGATCTTCTCACTCACAAAATAATCATATCTCGTCATGTTATTTTTGATGAAAATATCTACCCTTATTCTCACCCCGTCACCCCCACCGAACTCAATTTCCTGGATTCCACGGAGGACGACACAACCCACCACACTCCTTTTGGACACCCCAACCCCACCCAACCATCACCCTCTGCCCAAATCCC